AGGATTGTGGACTGGAAACTCATGTGGGTAGAACATCTGGGGATGCTGGTTCAGAATCGCAGACTGGGACCTGATGCGGGTAAAACATCTGGGCATACTGACTCAGGATTATGGACTGGGAACTCATGTGGGTAGAACATCTGGGCATACTGACTCAAGATTATGGACTGGGAACTCATGTGGGTAGAACATCTGGGGATGCTGGCTCAGGATTGTGGACTGGGACCTGATGTGGGTAGAACATCTGGGGATGCTGGCTCAGGATGCTGGCTCAGGATCGCAGACTGGGACCTGATGAGGGTAGAACATCTGAGGGATGCTGGCTCTTGGAATTTGCATGTAAGTACTTCTCCTCCTAGGTACCCCCATCTGTGTGACTTCTTTTGAAAATTCATTTTTATTTTTTAATTCTCATTTTATTTTATGCACATCTTTCTGTGCACAATTGTGTGCAATACCTGTAGAGGGATCGCTGAAACTGGAGTTACAGATAGGATGAGCTGCCAGGTAGGTGCTAGGATTGTACTCAGGTTTTCTAGAGGAGCCTGGCTGCTCTTAGACACTGAGCCATCTCCTCTTCAGTGACTTCTTGAGATGACTTCTGGAGGCAAACGCGACCTCCTGCTCTTTGGCCTTGGCCTACAGACTTCATTTCTGCTCGGAGAAGAGACGCTGACCCAGAAGACATCTGATTCCTCCAGCAGTTGTTCTCAAAAGCGGTGCCTTTGTCTCTACCATCAGCACACTGAACACCATGACGCAGGAGGAAGGGAGGGAGGGGAGGAGTTCTGCTAGGTTAATGTTCACAGAGCCCAGGAAAGTAGTCACCTACTCCAGGGCTGGGGTCATGGGGTTGGAAATGGAGGCTTTGCACCTTGGCTCAGCGCTTTTGTTTCTAGAAGCAAAGTGAATGACAGGGTTTCATTCCAGGCTTTAGGGTTCTCACATGGGTGCCGTCTAAGATAGCCTAGACCATCAACCCAGAACCCACCCCTCCCTCACACACTCCATACTCATTACCTGCCTTTTCTGTTCTTTTCCTGCTCACCCTCTTCTTTCTTTCCAGGGTCTCCCTAGTATCCTGCTCTGGCCCTGAGCTTGGTGTTGTCCTGCCTCAGTTTCCCAGAGTCCTGGAATTACAAATATGCCCCAACTCCCACAACCCACACCTCCGCTGCCACGTTAGGCAGGGTAAACCGTTAGGTTGAGGACAGAGGAAAAAACAGAATTACCTTAATTTTACTTGTGGATTTTTCTTTAGTTTTGTCCCTTCTGAATCCCTTTAAAAACCATCTTGCGTCATTGGTACTAACATCCTATGGTAGCTCACCCCATGGCTGTGTTTCCAATTTAAATTCTTTGTACCTGCATGATTCTGGGCCTTTGGGACTTAAAGGACCTGCTTTTAAACATGGAGGAAACATTACAAACTCCCCCTGCACTAATTTTGACTTGACAGAAGTCACTTCTGATGGTCCCTCCCACTTTTCTGTTTTATTTCTTTGCGGGGAGCAGAAATACACACAGGTACAGGAGAGCGCACAGAACGGGCACAGAAACGGGAGTACGGAGTCTACTGCCATTCCTAACCCCCATCTACACGATAAATAATCTTCCAAGTGTTCAAAGCAAACGATGAACAAGGGGCCAGCCAGACAAATGAGTGGAAAGTTGCTGCCACTCCTTCTGCCTTGAGTGGATCCCGAGCCCACACGGTGGAAGAAGAGAACGGACTGCCCCTGTTATTCTCTGGCCTGCACATTTGTATCATGGCACTTGGGTACCCCCATACAATAATTAAATTTAATAAACAAAAGGCAAACAATATCACCATGGAAACAGTCTCTGTGTCCGTGAGGGCTCACATACGTAAGATACGTAAGACAGTGCCTTGTGGCATTTCTCTCTGTGGCAATCCTCCAGTGGCCCCAGCGAACCTGTCCTCACTCTGAGTAACACTGCTCTCACGTGGACAGAGAGACCTGTAAGGGACGGAAGCTTGGCTCCTCTCCTCACAGTCCAGGACAGATCGCAGTTCCCCCGGCAGTCAGGGGTCGAGACTAACAGTGGCTCTCAGCTTGTGGTTCCAGGAAGTGGAGGTGCTGGAATGCATACCCAAAGAAGGCTTTAAGTCTAGGCCTGGAACTAACTGCCTTCACCGAGGTAAGCAAGAGAGGCTGAGGAGGGCCAGCTAGGTAGGTGCCTGGGAGGGAGAGGCACGAGGACTTGGTGTCCAGCCGCGGCAGCACACCAGGCCAGAGTCTTCCGAGTGAGTGGAGTCAGGGAGAAGCCCTGAACTGACCAAGAAAGGGCTGGGGCATAGGCTTTAGATTATGACAGTGGGTGGACAGCCTTCAAGTCACAACCCAGGGGACACCGCACTTCAGGTCCCTGAAGGTCCCACTCTGACTTCTCCTTCCTTTGCCTAGCCTCCTGAGCGCAGCCCTACCTTACCAACCATGCCCATTCCTCCGATTCAGCCACCACTGGCTTCCTTGACTCTTCGCTCACATGGCCGCCTTTCGACTGCGCGCGCTCAGCGCCTGAGCTCTGTCCTGCTGTCCGTGCCCAGATGACCCTCTTTAGCGCTTCCCCTAAACCATCATCTCCTGCTCCTCTCACCTCCATCTGATCTTCTTTTTCCTGGGCATTTGATTTGCTTTAATTTTTTTAATTAAATTTTTAGGGTGCTAAGGATTGAACTCAGGGTCTGTAAGCGCTGGGCAAGCGCTCTACCATTGAGCTACATCCCCGAGCCTCCCCCCACCATTTGTGTGTGTGCGCGCACGCGTAAACACACGTGTGCATGCTTGTGGGAGGCACACAAGTGAAGGGTGACGTGTACATGCAAACGGCAGCCTGCGGTTGGTGTCAAGAATCAGTTTTCATTACTCTCCTACCTTGTTCACTGAGGCAGGACCTCCCACCCAAACCCAGAGCTTCCACCTATGGCTAGTCTCGCTAGCCACCTACTCTGGGGATCGCCCATCTCTGCTTTCTGAAGCTAGAATCACAGACAGGCTTCCACGCCCACCTGGTATTTTTGTGAGATCTGGGGATTCAAACTCCAGTTCTCACAGCTGGTTGGCAAGCATTTTAAGCACTGAGCCGTCTCCCCAGGCCTTCTTGGTGATGAAATCCCTCAGATAATCAATATAAAAAGAATAAAGATTTATTAGGCTTATAATTGCAGAGAGCTTGGCTGCCTTCAGGTCTACGGCAAGGCACATGTCATGGTACTGAGTATGTGGATGAGGAGGTCTGGCCACCTGGGGGAGGTTGGAGGCAGGGTCCCAATACCCTCTTCAAGGCCACTCAACCCCAAGTCCTTCCCTCATTAGGCCCCACTTCTCACCGGCCCCAGTACCTGCCAGTAGTGACATAGGCTGCTGACCAGGTTTTCCACACGTGGCTTTTGTGAGTCATTTCGGTTCCGAAACTTAACAGATGCTAATGATGTGACAGAGATTTGGGGCTGGCTGACAAAGAGGACAAGATGTATGCTATGGTTTGAATGTGTCCCCCCAGAAGGCAGTAGCTACTCCTCAGTGCAGTGAGAACTGAACTCTTGGCACTATCGAGGAAGAAGGTTCATCTAATGATTACAGCAAGTTCCTTTCCTCGGGTCAAATTCAGCCCTCTCCACCCTACTACAGAAGGGTGCGAGGAGAACACCAACCCGAGGGCACCCGAACCTTGGATGTCTGGGCTTGGGAACTGTGAGGTACAAGCTTGTTTGTCATGAACTACTGCTACTGCCGGTCTGGCACAGAGCCCTCCCTGCAGGGTGTTCAGAAGGCTGGCCTGTCAGCCCAGCCCTTAGCCTTGAGTTGAGTTGGTCACCAATGTTCAAGGAGGAAACCAACGCTGCTGGAGATAATGGAGCCTCCAAGAAAACCCAATGGTTCAGAAAACTTCTAAGTAGCTGAGCACCTGAGGGTGTCTAAAATGATGACATCAGCAATGCACACTGACCGTGGATGTTATCAGCAAAGCACCCCGACCGCCTGCCTTCCCGTACTCCCCAGCTCACAAGACAGCCCTGCCCCGTGCACCCCTCTCTGCTGGGTATTTAACTGCATTCCTTCTGATAGCCATTCCTTTTTATTTACTTATTTTCCTATATACTCATTGACTTGAGATAGGGTTTCATATATCCAGGGTGACTTCAAACTTGCCTGTAGCCAAAAAGAACTTTGAACTTGGTATCCTTCTGCCTCTAATTCTGGATGCCAAGGTTACTGCCCACTCTGCCAGGTTTTGTGCGGTGTTGGGGATGAAATTCAAAGCTTTGTGTGTGCTAAGCAAGCACTGTGATGACTGAGCCACATCCCTGGCACCTACAATGTCCCTTCTGATAACTCAGGAAGCACACGTGTTCGGCTGAGTTTTGAACGATAACACGATCCTAGTAAACTAACGGGAACAGCCAGGTTATAGCCAGTCTATCAGAAGCCTGGTCCACAGGCTGGCGTTTGCTACTGGCATCTGAAATGGGAGCCTGTCAGGGTTGAAATAAACTGTAAGGAACCAGTGTGTGTGTGTGTGTGTGTGTGTGTGTGTGTGTGTGTGTGTGTGAAGAACTGACTGGCAAGGGCCACACTTGTTGGTGCCCAGAGAGGAGGATCTGTGTTGAGTACCATGTGTAACAGTACAAAAAAAAATTGTTTTTCTTCTTTTCCTTTTCTTTAATTTATTCACTTATTTTGAAACAGAGTCTCGCTGTGTAAGCTAGCTGTCCTAGAACTTACCATGTAAACCAGACTGGCCTTGAACTCACAGAAGTTTGCCTGCCTCTACCTTGTGACTGCTGGTATCGAAGGCTAGCACCATCAAGCCTACCTTGATTTTTCTCCTTTTAAATGTGATATCACATGCTTTAAAAAAAAAAAAAAAGTTAAGCACTAGGTATAGAAGAAAAAGAGAAAGCTGGATATTTACATCTTACTCTGAAGATCCCTCAGTGCTGGGTGCAGAACCCATGGCCTTGTATGTGCTAGGCAAGCACTCTACCCATGGAGACACATCCTTAGGACCTTAACTACTTTAAAATGATAATCTGTCTGGTTTAAAAAACAGAGGCTTTTCTTGGTTTTTCAAGTCAGGGTTTTTCTGTGTAGTTCTGGCTGTCCTGGAACTCACTTTATAGACCAGACTGGCCTCGAACTCACAGAGATCTGCCTGCCTCTGCCTCCCGAGTGCTGGGATTAACAGCGTGGGTCACCATGCCTGGCAAACACGGAAGCTTTAAGGAGACATGTAATATATACATCCTAAACGTTGGTCTGATGAAGAAGTTCTCCAGAGCCTTATTTATGTCGTCTAGAAAATGGGACCTGGAGAAGAAGCTGTAAGTTGGTAAGGAGAGTCAATATTTGAAAAGAGAAAGCTGTTTTTTTTTTTTTTTTAAAAAATTCACAAGACCTGACTCACTTGAAATGAGAGGAAAAACTGATAGAATGGTTTAAAAGGAAATGTTTGACTAAAGCTTGCCTGCTGTACCCATAGCTACCTGCCCACAAGACTGTGGCTCCCTGGTGACGCTGCACTAATTATAGAGAAGCAAGTGGAAGATGAATTATGTAAATTTACATTGACTGAGGAGCCTGCTGGAACATTCAGGAATCTTCATTAGCAAAATAAAATGAGGATTTTCTTACATTGAAAAGCAGTTAGAAGACAAAGTGTAACTTGCTATAGTTTTAGGATGAGATATGGATCAGTCAAAATGACATTGAATCACCGTAAATTGTTTGGAGGTAACAGCCATTTTGTGAATTTGATAGGAAGCATCAAACCGCTTTTTGGCTTAAATTTAATACATTTTTAAAAAATAAATATTACTTACATTTTCTATAAATCTCCATTGGTAAGTAAAATAGAAACCTTCATGTCCTCTGCTTCGTTCCAGTCAGTTTTCTTATTTTTTTTAAAATGTCAACTCACTTTAGGAATTTTATTAAAATCATGGAAATAAGAAAGAATAAAAAGCTTCCTAAAAAAAAAAGTCAGGGGAGTGGGAGGGAAGTGGGAGGAGGGGAGGAAGTGGGAATTTGGACTGGGTATTTTTTTAAAGTAATAAAATAATAATAATATAAAAAGAATCAAAAAAAGTCAGACTTAATGTGTATATTTGTAAAGGTAGCCATGAAATCAGATGCCTTAATAAGAATGTGTAACACAATTCTTCACACATTGAAAATTTAATAAATGCAGTCTTAGTGAGCATGCTAGCAGAAGCAAATGAAACTGGTATTTAAAATGTTTTTTGGGAAAGCATTATTCAACATCTAATTGAACATGCTATAATTTAAAATGAATCCTTTTTTTCCTTCTCAAAACATGTTGGGAATGTAGGTACACTGTACTTACCAGCTCCTCTCTCTCCAGACACAGAACCACGACAGGGAGACCACTAGATGCTATTCGCTGTGTCTCAGGAAGGGTAAGGACCAGCCTCAGCAGTAGCGCCCCTCCCAGGGGATGTTCTTGTCTCACTCCCTGCCTCACCGGGCTTAGAAAGCCACATTAACTCCACTCTCCATCCTCAAAGACGTGAGTGTCAGCAGCCCAGTGGGGGAACGCTGCAGTCTTCCTCCAAACACGCACCTCTCAAGATCTGTACTGTATGGGTGGTGTGAGGGTTCCCACTTGTTCCCACTTACCCCTGACACAGCACTGTGATCGGGGAGGTGCCTTGCAAACATGAACTAATTAAGAGGAACGATACTGCTTCAAGGTACTTAGCAGGATGCAAAAATGAAAATCCACAAGCCAGCCAGTCAGTGTAAAGCAACACGGCTTAAGGCAGCCTGGCTCCGTTCTCTTTCTTGCTGGAGGGTCTTTGGGGGGAAAACTCAGGGAGCTATATTTGAGGTCAAGATGTGGGGGGGGAGGGTATTACTTGCGTGAAGATGCCTCAGAGGACCGAGACGAGTCCGGGCATCACATCTGCAAGAGCAAAATGTCCTCCTAAATCATGTTAGAGGCTTCAAGGACACAACCCTTTTAGAAGTGCCAAATCACTGCAGTTTAATTAGTCGACTACAGATAGACTTCATGCAGAGAAACCCAAGAGAAAAATCATGCTGGGAAACCAGACAGGGTGCAGGAGAGAGGTAGGAGAAGGGCCGTAGGGATAACCTTCAGTTTTTGTTCTCCTAGGAGGCCAGGAGACAGAGGAGAGCACAGCGAGCTCCCTGGCATCTGACTGCACAGACTTCTCTGGCCCTTTCTTTAAAGGTGCTCTTACAGGATCCATACAGCACAGTGGCCCGTGAACTGCGGCCCCAGCTTCTGGAACAGGGACTGGAACACAGCAGACGCTGCACGAACGGAAGTGGCTAACCAATAAGAGCATGTTTAAGATATAGTGTTCCAATTTCATATCTCAAGTTCATCAGTTTTGGGGGGAGTTCTGTTAGCAAAGAAATAAAATACTGGCCATGTTTGTCTGATGTTGATTTTCATGGGAGATCATGGCATAGTTGCTAAAGGGAAACGAAATAAGAGGGTGGGGGAGAGCTTCATCCGTAAAGTAGTTCCATGTATGGTCAAGAGCCAAGTTCAATCCCCAGTGCACTGTCACCTATATCTGTAAATCCAGACAGACAGGCAGATCCCTGAGGCTAGTGAGCCAGCCAGTCTAGCCCCACAGGGAAATTCCAGGACAAGGAGCGATCCTATCTCCAAGCCCAAGATGGACATTTCCGTGGGATGACATTTGAGGTTGCCTTCCAGCCTCAACATGTATCACACACATGTGCAGGAACACGAAAACACGCGCGTGGAAACAAAAGTAAACACCAAATCTAAGTACATACTTCTAAGCGTAGTCTCCGTGTACTTTAAATTTTACAAGTTACTGTAGAGAAGTTCACATTGGTAACTGACGCTTCTGTATAGACTTCAAATAGCTCTGATTATTACTTTTAAAAGTCTGAAAATACCCTCCCAAATATATAGTTTTATGTTTGTAAATATATTTTATGCATATTAGAAACCCTGTGATCGAAAACAAGAAAGAACGAGAGGAAATATATGACAGACCTTATCTCTCCCTATCTGACCCAGGGTCTACACATACACTCCTGGGCTGTGCACAGATTACCCCAGGATTCTCATGTCCCTGGGCTGTACACAGAGCACCCCAGGATCCTCGTGTACCCTTAGGCTGTGCACAGATCACCCCAGGACCTTCAGGTACACCCCTAGTCTGTGCACAGAGAACTCTAGGGTCTTCATGTACACCCCTGGGCTGTATATAGATCACCCCAGGATCCTCATGTACCCCTAGGCTGTGCACAGAACACTGCACAGTCTTCATGTATACCCCCAGACTGTGCATATATCACCCCAGGGTCTTCATGTACACTTCTGGGCTGTGCACAGACCACTCTGGAGATTGCCACCTTAGAAGTAACTTTCGATGAAGTCAGTGCCCAGTTTGTCACACCGCTGGGAGAAGAATTTGGTGGTTGTAATGGGAGAACAGCAGTTACGGAACAAACTGTAACAGACTAATGAGATGGCTGATCGGGTTGCTTGCTGCCCAGCCTGACAAGCAGGGCTCCACCTCTGGGACCCACATGGTGAAGGGAGAGACCTGACTCCTACAAGCTGTCCTCTGACTACCATTTGTGTGCATGGCATGCCCCTCCACCCCAGGAAATAAATGAATGTTAAAAAATAAAAGTGGCTGTAGCAGCATATAGATCGAAAAGTACAACTGAAGCCAGAGTTACAGATGCTAACACAGTAGGAAGGATGCTGGAGTTCCCAGCTCCCTCGGCTGCACTCTGTTGTCCTGTGAGCAGGCACCACCCAGGCACGCTGCTCTATGAAGACGCTCTGTGTGATACGGAACTGCAAAGAATCGGGAGGTTGCCATTTGGGACGAGGACAGTGGTAGGCTCATGCTGCTCTTGGCGCCTTCTTCCCCCATTTCCTCATGGTAAGATGTGAGCTCCAGGTCTCAGAAACTTCAGTGAGAGGAGGCTTGCTCTGAGTGTCTCTGAAGTGGGGGTGGTGAGGGGTTGCAGGATGGAGGAGGTGCTGAAGAAAACGTGACTGGAGCCCAAGGAGAAAAGGATGTTTCTCTCTGAGGAGAGACAGGAGTCCATACGCGGTCCCAAGGAGAAAAGGATGTTTCTCTCTGAGGAGAGACAGGAGTCCATACGAGGTCCCCAGGAGGAAAGGACGCGTCTCTCTGAGGAGAGACAGGAGTCCATACGAGGTCCTCAGGGTGACAAGGCTCCCTTTCTACTTCTTCCCTTCCACCTCCCCTTCTATCTCTCCCACCCTTTCTCATCTTCCACCTCTCTTTCAGTTTGTCTTCCCTCTACGAACAAGGTCTTATGAAAACCAGACAGACTGGCCGAGAGCTCAGGGTCTGCTTGTCTCATCCTCCCCAGCAGCCAGGGCAGCAAAGCTTTCTGGTGAGAGGTGTTGGGGGACGGGGCGGTGCCAGGCTTTGAGGGTACAAGTGACAGTTAGTATTGATTGTCAGCTTGACTGAACTTAGAATCACAGAGGAGATAAACCTCTGCGCCTGTATGAGAGTATTTCAAATTTCACAGAGGAGGGAAGGCCCTAAAACGGGGTCTGTGAGGTAGGTCAGAGGTTAAAAAGGGTGATGGTCTGAGTTTGAGCCCCAGCACCCACATGACAGAAGAGCAGAACTTACTCCCACCAAGTTGTCTGACCCCTACATGTGCATTGACCCCCCTCACACACACACACACACACACACACACTAAACAAAACACACAAATAAACAAGACCCACATCACCTACAACAACAAAAACCCAAATTAAAAAATGCTTTGTCATTCGTGGAGGCTTGGAAACTTTGAAAAGCCATAAACAAGAGGAAATAGTCAAGCAGACTGCCTTTCCTGAAACAAGAACAACAATTATATTTTATGGCAACCAATAAATGATAAGGAAGCATACTTTAAAAAAAAATTATTTCTAGTTAATCAGTGTAGAAGGAACAGCGAGGTTGCCACGCTGGGGAAACATCATTGGGCCCAGATTGTGCTCATCAATGGCTGTCGAATCTGCTGTTGAAAACCAATGGGGGACTTTCATTGTTTGTATTTTGTTTTTCTATTTTTTTTGGGGGGGGATGAGTTTCAAGACAGGGTTTCTCTATAGTTTCGGAGCTTATCCTGGAACTCGCTCTGTAGACCAGGCTGGCCTCGAACTCACAGAGATCCGCTTGCCTCTGCCTCCCGAGTGCTGGGATAAAGCATGTGCCATCACTACTGTGCTCTAGGAGGAAATTTTATAATGGACGCAGGCTGACCACACCTGAGCACACTGATCATTCTTAATAGTACAAAACAGAGAGGAGGAGCCACTGTGTGTCTTTGTAACCCACAGGAAAGCAAACACACTGAGGTTAAATATTCTTTCTCCTCACATTGCGTGGAACCTGACAAAGTCTCTAGCCTTTTCTGGAAACAGGGTCTTACATGCGCCAGGCTGGCATCAAAATCACTGTGGAGCCGAGATCGACCTTGTACTTCTGATCCTACTGCCTCCACCTTCCAATTGCCGGGACTGGCGTGTTACCACCAATGATGAGAACAGAACCAAGAGCTGACGAAAGTGAGCAAGCGCTTGGCCAGCTGAGCTGGACCCACGAGCACAAGTCTCTAGACTTTGACTATCACTATTCTGGAAGATAAGAGGGACCAGAACGTGGCACCTGGGAGCATAAGGATGCAGCCTGCTGAACTATCCAGACTCAGAATGTGGGAACTTCTGCCGGACAACAGCTCCTTCCATACGTGAACTGTATGGAAAACAAGGTAGGTAGATAGATAAAGAGTCTCAAGAAACACACACACGGGCAGTGTGTGTGCTTGATTCAAACACACAAACATGTGAGTCTTCGGGAGCCAGCTAGAAAACTGGGCACTGACAAGAAACATGGAAGATATTACCGAACCCTTGTTCACCACTGAAGGCAGCATCGGCATTTTGCACGTGTTTATGGAGAGCTTCTGCTGTCTAGAGACAGTGTACAGAGAAGTTAGTGTGGCCTGGCACTGGGGTCTCACCAAGTGTCACCCGCACGGTGGGCTCTGGTTACAAAACTGGGGAGCTGTCATGGGTGCCCAGGCCGTTTGTTCAGCCTGAAGAAACAGAAGCTTAGCCTAGGTCTGCAGAGTCGAGGAGACCCAGGGTAGCTGGTTATTATGGTTGGTATTAATTGCTGGGTATGAAAATGTCTGCCTGAGCTAGTGACAGGGATTGGTGCGGCCAGGGCAAATCAAAGAGCAGCCTCTATGTGAAAGCATTCAGGTTTAGTGGAGGAAGAAGAAAGTGGGAGGAGAGGTGGGGTGAGAGGCTGGGAAGTGGAGACAAAGAGGAACCGGAGAAGGGGGAGGAACAAGAATGGCAGAAACAGACTGGAGACAGCACCACCCCAGGCTATGTCTTCTGGCCAAATTCATGATCCTTGCTCACACAGAAAGTTATACTTGAATTAAATCCATATTTTTCTTGGAGGCACAGCTGTTGCGCACACTCATCTCTTTGATAGACACTAGAAAACTCCAGTGCTCAGTCAAGGTGGAATAAAATAATTAGCACGCTTATCAAGGCGACAAAGTAAGAACGGGCAGGAAATGCTCCTCTACCAGGAATAAGCTGTCCCTCGGGCGGCCTGGCTGTGTTGGTTTAATGATAAGGATCTGTGCACCAAGGTTGTCCTCCTGGTGGAGAGCAGGGCTTCCCAGTCAGGACTGATGGCCTCTGGCCACATCGATTGGCTCCAAAGGGTATCTCTTAGACACAGGTGAAGGGCAGCCTATCGAGATTTCTGGGTCACCGAAGGCCTCCCTGGTTTCTGAATGGGAGCACAAGGCAAAGGCTAAAATGGAAGAAAGAGGCTGGACCCCTCTTTCACTTCTTCCCACCTAGGACTGCTTGGTTTTCATTTCATTTAAGACAGTTCTGGGCCTGTAAGCCGGCTCAGCTGGTAAAGGTGCCTGCTGGGAGGCCCGACCCAAATTCGATCCCTCAAAACCTACACGGTGGAAGGAGAGAACTTCTCTAGCAAGAAGTCCTCTGCCTATCACACGTGAATTAAAAAAAAAAAAAAAAGCAAAACTAGAAAGCAATCCTGAGACCTCCAAAAATCCTAGATGAACAGCAGAATGTGGGATAACAGAAACCACTGCGAACAAATTAGGAATTTAGGGTTTTACCAGATAGGAAATATTGCTTATGTGTTGGATTTGCAGAGAGACCAACTATTTCAAATTTTATGTTATCAAGACTAAATATCTTTTTTGGGGGGGGGCGGCGGGGGATTGAGACAGGGCTTGTCCGTAGCTTTGGAGCCTGTCCTAGAACTCACTCTGTAGACCAGGCTGGCCTTGAACTCACAGAGATCTGCCTGCCTCTGTCCCCTGATAGCTGGGATTAAGGTACCACCACCACCCGGGCTAAATATCTTCTCGAGACTACCATGTAAAGGAACTGGACCAAGTCCCATGGAGGACATGGTTTTGGAGAATTTTCTCTGGCAGATTTTTATACCACAGCAACCTGACGAATTACACAAAACAACTTAAAATACCTCCACACATTTCCCCCTTTTTACACACGGTCTTGATGCTCAGAGTGGTCAGTCTGAGAAGTCACAGAGCTAAGAGCAGACTCTGGCACTATAAGGCAGCCTAAAGGTTTAAATTGGAGGAATTCTTTTTTTTTTTTCTGTCTCATTCCTTCACAGTAAATGGACGTGTCCAGTGTATTGCCCCGGAGAAACTCCTTTTACAAAAACGTTTTCTTGCCTTGCTGGGGGTCAAAACCAGGGCTTTGCACAGGTTTAGCCAAAGGTCAATGCTACATTGCTGACCTACACGCTCTGCTCTGCACTGAAGGGCTTTCACGCTAGTCCATGACATACTCTGTTATTCCAACAAGTCAGGTAAGGGGTCATCCAGAGTCTGGAAGTCTGACATAGCAATGGTCTGATATAGCGAGCTACATTTGGATCCAATCAGAGTCTTCGGTGGTTTAATATCGGAACACAGACAGAATTCAGGTCCAGAACCACATATAACTGAAGAAAAACAGGTTGCACTAGGCCACTGAGAGCCTGCAGACCTTCCGGTTGGCTCCACTTACAAGTCTCTTTATAACCCCCCCACCCTGAAGTGACTTTGACCAGATTATCTCACTACATTATATGGAGAGCATGAAAGGATGTAGTAATACACTGTCTTGTTTGCTTCCAAGACTCTTATGCTACAAGTCTTCCTGTTACATTCTTGAGAGGTCCCCAACCCCCAGCCCCGAAAATTTTTTTAGTGTTCACAAGGTGGACACTGCACTTACATTTACAGTAAGAGGGACCAACAAATAATACACTAGCTACCTACCATTTCCAGTCTTTTCCTTCTGCCTTGGACTTCTCTCCCCTGGCCCCCCTTTTCTCTCTCCTCTTTGTGGATGAAATGAGCAATGGAAAACTTAGTTTTAGGAAATGCAACCATCCCTGGGTAGAAACAACATCTAACTGTTGCTGGGAGATGGTCTGTGAAAGGAACAATAGAGATAAGGAACTTTGAAGAAAAATGCTTAATCTCAATCATTTAGACCTGTAGGACAGAAACAAAGTAACTGCCCCCCCCCCCAAAAAAGCCCATTCCCACAAGCCCTTATGAAGGGAATACCCAGGACTCTCAACCAACAAATATACGCAGCTCTTCATTAGAAACCCCTCCCCAGACAAGAAGCTCTTCAGGTGGGAGCTCTCTCTGCTTTGTGTACGAACCTCTTCCATGGTCTAAGAAAAGACTCCAGCCTGAATGAGTGGCTGGCCTCACTTCAGGACATTCTTGATGAATCAGAATCAGCGACCCACAAAGGTGGCTGCCTTTTCAACAGCAAGGTCTGGGGAGCCGGGTCAGTGGGTAAACTTCTTGCCCCAAAAGTGTCAGGCCCCAAAATCATTTCCCCAGAACACAGGTAAAAAAAGTTGGGACCCAAGGCAAGTGCCTGCAAGCCCAACACTGAGGAGAGAGAAACAGGAGGATTTCTGAGATTTGATGGGCAATCAAACTGACCCGTGAGCTCAAGGTTCAGTGAAAGACAGCTTTAAAGTAAGGTGAAGCTCTGTGCGGTGGCACACGCCTTTAATCCTAGCACTCGGAGGCAGAGGCAGAGGCAGAGGCAGGCAGAACTCTGTGAGTTCGAGGCCAGTTTAGTCTTCAACTTGAGTTCTAGGACAGTCAGGGCTACAGTAAGGTGGGGTGCGCATGGTGGGACACACTTTTAACCCAGCACTCAGGAGTGTAAGTGCTGCAGCTCTCGGGAAAGGCTTCCCCAATGGGAGGGTTGCAGCTCTGAAGAGACAGGTTTCTCCTGTGTCACAGTTGTGAGGGGAAGGTATCCTGGCAGTTGGGAGCCAAGGGAAACCACAAAGTCACACTGCACACCAAACCTCCCACAGGAGATTTATTGGGAAAGACACAGGAAGGTGGTTGCCTCTGCTGGGGAGAAGCCGCAGAGAATTTAGCAGGAGGCACACTTATTTCTACAGGGTTCTTGTTGGGAAGGGGTTTTCCTGGGTGAAGATTTCCAGGGTGAGGAATGGTGAGGTTTCAAGCCAAATCTGGGGATTAGTGTCATTTTGTGCTCAGGGACTGGTGTGCTTTGGTAGATTTTCAAACCTGGAAGTGAACTTGGATCTTTTACCCTACAAGAAGGCAGAGGCAAGAGGATTTCCAAGTGTTGGAAGCAGGCCTGGTCTACAGAGAGAGAGTTCTACCAGTAAGGGTCACATAGTGAGACCCTGTCTGAAAAACAAACAAACGAACAAATATTGCAGAAGCGATAGAGGAAAATATTTGATATTGATTTTGGCCTTACTCCCACCCTCATGCTCGATCCAGTGAGCCACACACACACACACACACACACACACACACACACGCACGCACGCACACACACACACGCCAATCCTGAAAGGCAGAGGTTTGACACAGCTGACCAATGGCATGTTTCTGGTAGTTGGTATTTTCTGGAAGCAAGAAGGCAGACTTGGAGAGGGACAGCAGAGGAGCTTCAAGTAAAGGAAGAGGTCTCAAGGGACCTGAGCAGGTGTGGCCCTGCTGGTGAGGTCGCGGAGGCCTGTTGGGGGCTGGACACTTCTTTTCTGTTTACTTTGGCTGGGTGTGATGTCTACTGTGTGTATTTCATGAATGGCCCTGGGAGTGTTCCTCAATATAGACAACTGTTTACAGCTAAGTAAATGTTAACATCTATTAGCAAGTTCTCCATGTTCTTAAAATTATGGCGGTGTAGTGTTTATTCTATCTATTTTTGAATATGTCAGATATTTAAATATTGATCACTGAATGTCTGTCCCTTGTCCCTCTAAGAGAGGGGTACTGAAACACATGAAGTAAACATTATATAGAGCTTTGTTTGACAGTCTGATTTATTTCAAAATCAACAAACTGACTGAGGGAAATTCAGGGTATTAATTTCACATTTTTATTAACTTTTAATGAGCCCATGTGGTTTCTTCAAAATCTGTATTACCTGTGCAAAGAAGTCTGTTCATTAGCAATTGAGCTTCTGATTTGAGTACAGAACCAACATTCATTTCCTACAGAGGCCAATTTGAGTGAGTGTAAAAATCCTGGACGGTTAGTTAACCTCATGAGTAGAAGACCTCACTGTCCCACCATTTCCCACACTGTTCATCAAACACATAAGCTGAGCACACATTACTGCTAATAGGAGATGGCGAGGAGGATGGGTAAAACCACCGTGCTGTTACCTACACACATAGTAGGCACATTTACAAGTAACTATTTTACTGGCTGGGTGAGTATTTTACTTGTATATTAGTAAATATACACGTTACTTATTAAACAGGTATGTTTCAGGTTAGGGAGACGGCTTAGTGGGTGAAGTGCACGCTAAACAAGCGTGAGGACGGAGTTCCATGCCCAGCACCATATACAAATGTCAGGACTTGAAATCTCACCACTGGAGAGTAGGAGACAGGTGGGTCCCCTGGCTCCCTGTGCAGCCAGCCCTGTCGAGTCGGGTATCCAGGGTCCAGCTCCTGAAGAATGATGCTGAAGTTGACCTCTGGCCTCTATGTGCACATGCTCACACATGTGCCCACAAGAGTGCAGACTCATAGGAACACGCACCTGCGTAGAGAAAGAAAGGAGAGACCAATTCCAGTTAACCGTCTTTTACGAATAGCTCGTTAAGAGAAAGTCTCATTGGCTGAACACAGGCTTTCTGGGTCAGACAAAGCGCAGGCTGGTCACCCTACGGTTCAGGATGCCTTTCTTTACTCTCCGATTTTCTGTGTGGGAAGCCATGCCAGTGTCACTCGTCCGCTAACTCTGTTAGGATGAATTCTAAAACTACTGAGTCGACGGGGATGGGAAAAATGCTGATTTATTATTAGCAAGATTTTTTTTCCATATTAACTGATCAGTTTATGTGAGTGCGTGGATGCATGCGCCGTATACACACGTGTGTCCAGATACAGAAGTCAGAGGAAGAAGCCTGTATTGTGCTTGGTCACTCTCCATTTCATCCCTTTGAGACAGGGTTTATCACTGAACCTGGAGGTAGCCAGCAAGCCCCACTGACCCTCCTGTCCCCATCACTCAGCCCTGGGTTGACAGAGATGTGAGTGGCCACATCTGAAATTTTAGATGGCGCTGAGATCGGAACTCAGACCCTTGTATGTGCACAGGGAGCCACTCTTACCTGCTGAGATATCTACCCAGCCTTTATATTTTCTTGATTTTTCTATTCACATTTCACTTACCAAACAACAATATGAATATGATATTCCTTTTTTTTGCATGTTAGAAAACACGTAGGAAATAAAAGTATTATCTTTTCCTTCTTCCTCTCTTTTCTTGTCACATTTGCTAGGTAAATACACCACAGCCCGAGTGCCGCTTTGATAAGCCCATGGTTGAACCTCACCACCTTGTTCTATTCTTATCTTTTTATGCTTAGCTTGAACACTTTTTTTTAAAATGTTTGTTTGTTTTAGTTTTGGTTTTTCAAGACAGGGTTTCCCTGTGTAACCCTCGCTGCCCTGGAACTCACTCTGTAGACCAGGCTGACCTCAAACTCAAGAGAGTCACCTGCCTCTGCCTCTTGAGTGCTGGGATTAAAGGCCTGTGCCACCACACTCTCGGCTTGTCCTTTATTTTTCTATGGACTTGTTTAGGAAAGAGTTTCAATATTATTTGGGGAAATAATCATATCTCTGGAACATTTCTACTCTAAGAAAAGGTTGGGGCAGGGGGCTGGAGAGATGGCACAGAGGTTGGGAGCACTGGCTGTTCTTCCAGAGGTCCTGAGTTCAATTCCCAGCAACCACATGGTGACTCACAGCCATCTATAGTGAGATCTGGTGCCTCCTTCTGGCATACATGGAAGGAATGTTGTATGCATAATAAATAAATAAATCTTTAAAAAAAAAAGAAAAAAAAAGAAAAGGTTGGGGCAGCTTGGCAGCTGTGAGGGAGGTAAGCTAGCGTAGCAGGGGAGAATGAATACTCTCTTTTGACTGAACTTTCCAGTTCTGCGAACAAGTGTAACAGACAGCTGTCGGGGCGACTTAACTTTAGCAGAATCGGGAGGTAGAGCTGCCCATACCCTCATTTAAGTCTGTCTCTGTCTGCAGGACCTGTGCTTAGGCCTCCTCCAGCTGCAGGGAGAGAATGCTCTCTGCCTTTTCTTCCCCCTTCACTTAGTGTCGAGTCTCTCTAGCTTAGGGGCAGAAAGGTACCTGGAGCTAACTAGAAGGGTGGCTTCCTGCATCCTGACCCCGGAGGTTCTAATCTGGAAGTTCTAGCACGCTAGCAATTCTTTTTTGTTTGTTTGTTTATTTGTCGTCCCCCCCCACCCCCAGACCTGCTTTCTCTGTAGCTTTGGAGCCTGTCCTGACACTATCTTTCATAGACCAGGCTGGCCTCGAACTCATAGAGATCTGCCTGCCTCTGCCTCCCAAGTGCTGGGATTAAAGGTGTGTGCCATCACTGCCCTGTTAGAAATTCATATTTTTATTTTTATTTTTTTTTAAAGATTTATTTATTATGTATACAGTGTTCTGTCTGCATGTATGCCACCAGACTAGAAGAGGGCACCAGATGTTGTTATAGATGGTTGTGAGCCACCATGTGGTTGCTGGGAATTGAACTCAGGACCTCTGGAAGAGCAGGCAGTGCTCTTAACCTCTGAGCCATTTCTCCAGCCCGAAATTCATATTTTTAATGTGTTCCTTGAGGGATCCTGGGAAAACCGCATTTTGAAAGATGTTGCATTGGAAACTCAATAGGTGTTTTTGTAGGGGTGGAGTGGGGTGGGGTGGGAGGACACCTAGATGAAACACTATTTAAAAACGTCGGGTTTTAGCTGGGTGTGGTTGTGCACACCTGTTCTCTCTGCTCCTCCGGAAGCTGAGGTCTGGGAGAGGGGCTCAGGAGTTTGTGGCCAGCCTGGGCAAAGTAGTGAGTTTCGAAATATTCAAAATGGGCCTGAGAAGTTTGTTCAGTCGGGAGAGTGCTTGCCTTCCAAGCGTGAGAACTTGAGTTCTGTTTCCAGATTCCAGTTTTTTGTTTATTTACTTATTTATTTTGTTTTGTTTTTTAAAGGAGGGTATAGTGATGCAGACTGGAGAGAGAGGCAAAGGTGATCCTTGAGGCTCACTGACTGCTTGGCGAGTCCAAAGCCAGTGAGAAAGCGGTCTGAGAAATTCAAGGTGGCCTGCTCCTGACATTCTCATCTAGCTTCCACATACGCACACACACAAACCTAAAACATGGGCTCTCCAACTCTACCAGCAAGTCCGGTTTCAGCAAATACCTTCCTTACGAAGGTTGAGGGGCTTGCTCCCCAGCGTTTCCCGCTGTTGCTGATCCGGGAAGATTCCTTCCTCTTTCTCCCTCCTCCCCTTCTTCTCTTCTTCTGCCTTCTTCTTCTGGTTAAAGTATGTTATCCCAGCTGGCCTCGCATGTCTGGGCTCAGCAGGCCTCAGTCTCAGCCTCCTGAGTAGCCGGGATGCACACGGTGCCATCCATTTTAGTGAACCCATGGATCTGGCAGTCCCTCCCTGTTGTTATGTTCTTATTAGGACCTTCCAGAATACATCTAGAATCTCGTTTCCCCTCCTGTTGCTATATTAGGAAATACTAATTCGAGCGTATGTCCCTGAGACAGGTCAAGGAGTTGGTGGGGAGGTCTTTGGGCATCTGCCAAGGGCCTGGCCGAGCCGGAATTATAGGAGTTAATTAGGACCTGGCTTATTGCCTTGTAGGTTCGAACACCCAATTTTTGTCAACAAACAAGACTGAATCTGCTCTGTGACGAGGTTCACATTAACCAAACTCACAGCACCATGAACACACAAGCCTCACGTCACAGATTTGTTTACAGTGAGCAAAGGAACTAGAACATTTGCATTAATGTGGAATCTCCCCACACACCAGTGGTTTGGGAAGCCCCATTACAATCAGAAAGCTGCTTTGTGGGCAAGTTAGAATAAGGGAAGTCAGATACACAATTTGCTTTCTGAAGAAACTGGGCCTGCTTCTTGGATTTCCACAGCTGAGATGACATTCCTGGTCTTGCAGACTGAATTATGCCTTCTGAGGGGCACGATCATTTTGTGAATTTGTTAAAACAATGAGTTAAATTTCACTCTGAGAAGAAGATAATTTTCTTTAAAGTGATTCCGCAGGGCCCATGAGATATGCCTGCTATGTAAGTGTGAGTCTGAACCCTAGAAGTCATATAAAAAAACTGGGCAGGGTAACGCTTCTTTGTAATCCCAGGGCTGGGAAGGAGGAGAGGGGAAATCACCAGGGCCTCCTGGCCAGTCAGGAGAGCCTACTGTGCAAGTTTCCGATCAGCATGGGACCTGGTCTCTAAAAGCAAGATCCTACTGCGCCAGAGGAACCACACCCAAGGTCGGTCTCTGACCTCCACACCTGTGCACAGGACACACACATAAACAGAAAAGTGACTTTACCCCCACCCCACAACGTCTCTCTCTCTCTCTCCCTCTCTCCCCCTCCTTTTTTCTCTCTTTTACTTTACCCCTTTTCTCTTCCTTTTTGTTGGTTTTACTAGTAATTCTTAGCCATCTCTATTAATTCACACCCTGTTACTAATAACACAATACCACAGGCTGGGTACGTCTTAAAGAAAAGGGTTTTTAGCTGAACGTGATAATACACACCTAATTTCAGCACTCGGGAGCAGGAGGCACAAGAACTGCCACAGGTTTGAGACCAGCCTGGTCCACAAAGCAAACTCTGGGCCAGGGGGAGGGGAAGTATGGGGGAGGGGAAGTATGGGGGAGGGTGATATATCTATTTTGTCTCATATTCCGGCCAAGAACATCCGGCTGAGAAGATAGCCTTCTTGATAGCAGAGTTCTCTACATGGGAAGAGACAAGAGACATGCATTGTGTTTCCTGGTTCCTTCCTCTTGTCTTACGAAGCCATCAGTACTCAAACATAAGCCTAGACCCTTCCCAAAGATCCCATAGGCACTGCAGTGTTTTGAGTACCTCCCAATAGGCTAGGAACTCCACCATGGGTTTGGAGGGCATAAGCCCGGGATCACCACATTATTCACTTCCTAAGCAGTCAGTTAGTGCACAGCTACCCTGTAGTGGTTCTGTAATGCCCACTTTTCAAAGAAAATCAAAGGATGCTCAAAAACACAACATCCCATCTCTTTTGTCCTTGGTACAGAATATAAAATATTTCAGGATACTCGTGTTTCTTTTATTTTAAAAGGCTTTTTAAAAAAATTTTGGTGTATGTCTGTTTGTACATACATACATGTTTGTTCACAGGCATGCACGTGACTGTGGACGCCAGAGGAGACCAGCAGAGCTGGAGTTGAGCAGTGGCAGGCAGTTGTGAGTCACCCAGTGTGGGTGGTGGGACCCGATCTCGGTCCTCCGCAAGAGCAGCAAGCACCATTAGCTTCAAGCTCTCCCTCCAGCCTTCAAGCCTCTTCTTAGATGTAGGGGTCTCCAAACCAGAGTTCCAGACAGAGCTCCCTGCACGGACGGCGGACGGCAGGGCCTGTGCACTGCGCCGCCGAGCTGCTAGCCCATGTGTGGCGTGGAACACATGATGAAGAGGATGCACTTCTTACTCTGATTCTTTTAAACGGAAGGAGCTCTATTTGCGCAGCACCGCTCTCTCACTGCTAGTAGGTTCCGTCTGTGCTAAGAAGCAAACGGCACTGCAGGAGCATAGCCACTGGCAGCCATGCTTGTCCGCACGCTGCAGACCCTGCACTGGTCCCCAGTGTTGATTGGGAGGAGGAGCGGACAGCAGCGTCCGTGTCACGACCCCTGCCTTCCAAGTCTTTCTTGGATCCTGGCCCCTTAGTTACTTGGGATGCTGCAGAATACACATATCAGAAAGTCACTTTGGTCCAGGAAGCAGAAACAACCAAGGGCATGAAGCTAGCTCCACCTCTGGAGTAAACGATACATTTACACATTATGGACACCCATTTTGCCCTTTTCTGTCCTGAGTCTGCCTCATTTGGTACATTTGGCAAACTGGCTGACTACTTTTCCACCCCACAGCAGCGAGCACGGCCACAAAAAGTTCCTGCGATTTGATTTCCTCCACTCAACATACCAGCTGGGCCGAGGCTGCGTTTGTCGGTGTTCGTGCCAAACACGTCTGGCGAGGTGCCAATCGCCCTAGGGTGGCTGGCCTAGGTGTGCAGCCTTGCTCTGGATCCCTGTGACTGAGGACAGGTCAGCCTTAGCTGTATGAACAGCTGTATGAGCAGTGTGGCTCAAGAGGAAAACGAACCAGATAAGAAGTGGGGCTTGGGTAGAGAAGCCCATGGGAGGTGACCACAGTGCTCACCCTGTCACTTGGTGACCTGGTCCTTTACTGAGTTGTATAGTGTGTCTCTCCAGCCTCCTTTGATGGAAGTTTCCTTATCTTGTGTTCCATTACACAGGGCTCTGCTGCTAGGTGACTAATTAATCTGATATAGGCAGCAAACGACAGCGAAGACTCTGAACATCAGTTTCCTCACTGAGCAAGTGAGGACAAAATGGCCTACCTTGAGCCAGGTGTGGTGACACGTACCTTTAATCCCAGCACTTGGGAGGCAGGTTTCTGTCATTTCAAGCTCTACAGAACAAGTTCAGGGACAGCTAAGGTTATTACACAGAGAAACCGTGCCTCCGAAAATGAAAAAATAAAAACAAAAAAGGCCAGCCTAGAAATGGGGGGTTGGAGACTAGTAATAAAAATTAATGTCAATAATACTTATTTCCTTCTAATAAACACATTTTTCAGTTTAGTCTATGTATATCAATAAAACTGACTTGTCTTCTGGGCCATTTGACATGTGTCAGAATGCAGTGAGACAGAGACTCTTAGTGGCCTTCAAATCATAGAGCTCTATATCCTTTCAAATGTTAATGTGATTATGTGAACGGATGGTGTGTGTGTGGATGTGTGAGCCACAGCACACATGAAAAGTCAGAGAACAGCCTGTGAAGCTGGTCCCCCTTCGATCTTACATGGGTTCCAGGTATCAGACTCAGGTCAATGGGCATGCATGGCAAGTGTCTTTATCCCCTGAGTCATCATGTCAACTCTGTATTATTTTTAAAAATATCACCAAATCCATCCTGCCTATAATTTAGATTTGAAAAGAAAGAATAAACCATTCTCATATTCAAGGGTAATAATCTATCGAACTGCAGAGACCACAGAGATCTACGGGGACCCACGGAGACCCACGGAGACCCACAGAGCCCACAGAGATCCACAGTCAAATATGGGAGTGCCAAATTCAGGGAATCCTGAAGAAGAGAGGGAGGAAGGACTCCGTAGGAGCCAAAGGAGTCAAGAACATCACAAGAAAACCCACAGAATCAACTAATCTGGCTCACAGAGTCTGAACCAACAACCAGGGAGCTTGCCTGGGGCTGATCTAGGTCCTTAACATGTATGTGACAGATGTGGTCTACTTGCTGTCCCTGATGCTTTGGCTGGCTTTGGGGACCCTATTCCTCACACTGGATAGCCTTGTCTCCTTAATATAAGGGGAGGAGCTTAGTCTTACTGCAACTTGATATGCCATGCTTTGTTGATGTCCATGGGAGGCCTGGCCCTTTCTGAACAGAAGCAGAGGAGTGGATTATGGGGGAAGAATGTGAGGAGAGGGGGGAAACTGCGGCCAGGATGTAAAATAAATTAAATTAAAAAAAATGTATCAAACTGCCGGATCTTGAGAACAACTTTTTGCCAACGTCCTGATCTGTGGAAAAGGTAATAATAGCTGCAGAGTCACAGGACCATCATAGCAATTAAATTCGTTACGTTCGTGAAGTGCTCAGAACAGAACTTAGCAGAAGGAAACACCATATATGTGTTAACAATTAATATTACTTTTTTAATTTATGATTTCTTAAACTTTAAGTTGTAATATGTCAGCAACGAATGGAAATGCAAAGATGGATTTCTTTCAAAACAAAGCAAAACACCCACAAAGCCTTAAGAAGTCAGGCATTGTGGTCTACACTTGTAATTCCAGTTCTTGGGAGGCAGCGGCAGAAGGGTTATTTTAAGTTCCAGGCCAGCCTGATCTACATGGCAAGCTGCCTTCCAGCTGGGGTACCACAGGGAGAAACTGTCAAAATTTTTAACTTTAAATTTTTTTTAAATGATTTATTTACTTTTGTTTATGTGCATTTTGTTTGTTGTTGTTTGTTTGGTTTTTGCCTGAATGTATGTCTGTGTGAGGGTGTTGAATCCTGGAGTTACAAGCAGTTGTGAGCTGCCATGTGGTTGTTGGGAATTGAACCCAGGTCCTCTGGAAGAGCAGCCAGAGTTCTTAACCACTGAGCCATCTCTCCAGCTCCCATTTTAATTTTTAATGAAAATCACTTTATTGTAAAAACTTTCAAATAAAGTATTACACACCTAGATTAACTTATAGCCCTTCAAAAACATCCCGGTGAACATCTACACACTTAGAAAAAAATGCGAAAAGAAACACAAAGAAGTGCATTGTAAGTAATAAGAATACATGTCACTGAGGGCTGTCGTGGTGGTTTGAAAGAAAATGGCCCCAGAGGAAGTGGCACTGTTGGGAGGTGTGGCTTTGTTGGAGGATGTGGGTCACTGTGGGGTGGACTTTGAGGTCCTCTATGCTCGGTACACTCAGCGTGGCACACAGACGCTTCTGCTGGCTGCAGATCAAGATGCAGCACTCTCAGCTCCTTCCCCAGGCACCAGGTCTGCACACTGCCATGTCACCTGCCATGACGTTAGTGGACTAAACCTCTGAAACATAAGCTATCCCCAACTAAATGCTTTTCTTTGTAAGAGTTTCTGTAGTCATGATGTCTCTTTAAGCAACAGAAAACCTAAGAAGCTATGAAATATGTGCCCAACCCATGAGTTTCAATATTTGTCTTTTTGCCTATTACGAATCAGTCCTTATCATTTATTTGAATTCCACCAAGAAGAGAGGGAATGAGAAGCAGAAGCTGCCCTGGTGCTGGTCAAGTGCCTATGGTTCTAACTCCGGTTCTGCTCCCCAGGAGGAACGAGTTTCCAGGCGATGACCTAACTCCTTCAACTTCCTTTAGTTCAAGGAGCAAACTACGCATGTATATCTAGAAGAATATGTGAAGAATCTTGAGCTACTTACTGAATCCAGCTCCATTATTAGAAAACATCTCTCAGCCTATGGGTGGGGTACTGTGATGTGGCAATGTCATAGGGCCAACTAAGACCCCCTCTTTTTCAGATAAAAAAAAAAAAATCACGGGTAAATGTTTGATTTATCCTCGGACCGGGGATACTTAGGTTGGTGAAGTGTTTTCCCTACAAACACAAAGACCTGAGTTTGATCGCCAGAGTCCACCTAAAAACAAAACAAAACAAACAAATAAACAGCAACAACAAAACCTCAAAACACTGCTGTGGTGGTGTGGTGAGGTAGAGGCCTCAGGGTCCCTCTCAGTCAGCCTTGCCTAAGCAGTGAGCCCCCGGGACAACGAAGAAACCCTGTTTCAGAAAACAGACATGGCTCAGTAATCAAGAGCGCCTGCTGTTCTTTCTGAGAGAACCTGAACTTGATCCCAAGCACCAGTAGGCTGCTTACAACCATTTGTGAATCCAGTTCCACGGCACTGACGCTGTCTTCTGGTTTCCTCATGAGCCAGGCTTGAATGTGATGCACAGATACACATGCAGGCAAAACACTCATACACATAAAATAATAAATTAAAAAAAATCCAACAGTCTAACATCTAGTAAGACTTTCTCTTTTTGGGTATTCCTTGTCTGTCTTCTCTTCCTTTCATTCTAGTTTTAGGATGTTTAGTTAAAACCTGGGGGGAGGGGGGAGTCTGTTGTGCAGTATTCAGGGAGAGGAGGCTAACTTTTTCATCATTTGTTTTTAAGGCATGAAAGTAAGAACCGGGACCTTGTTAATCCAGTTCTAACTTGGCAGGTAGGAAGAGGCCATGCAGGGAAGAAAACCTGGGCAGTGATGGAAGGGACTTCTCACTGCTGAGGACAGCAGCACTGAGCAAATATGGGAGAGAGGATTGTACAAGGAAAAGGACGGGAAGGGGAGGGGACGCTGTGCGGAAGGCAACGGGCACCATTCTCACAAATCGTCCTAACACATGGGTAAATGAAAAGCTACAGGAAAAGTCAACGAGGCGGAAGGGAGCAGGGTGGAGGACCTCCAGCACCACCGCTGCTGCGAACAAGAGTTTTCAATGGAAGATGCTGTCGTTGGGGAGCAAGGAAGGAGTCGAGGCCAGCTGACTTCTCTTTGCAAAAGAGCAGAGGTACACACACACACACACACACACACACACACACACACAATTTTCAATTTTCTTCTAGATAGGTGTAGCCGTGGCTGTCCTGGGAACTTGCTCTGTAGATTAGGCTGGGCTGTAGACCAGGCTGGCCTTGAACTCTGCCTCCTGAGTGCTGGGGTCAAAGCTGTGCACCACCTCTGCCCAGCATTAGAAGGTATATTTTTAAAAGGCAAATCATTGTTTACAGTTTTTAACAGTTGACTTCTCTTCCCCCACCATTATAAAAACAAAACTGACTCACGTCACACTCTTCCCTACCTTTTCTCACCTTTATATTCCTTTTAACTAATATTACTAGGTCATTATCAATGTGGTGGGAGAGTGGGGGAGGGGAGAGGAAGCAAGATCCTTATGAGACAGTGACAGAGTCGGGCTGGGAAGCACAATCTGTAGTTCTGTATAATAGGGCATTCAAGAGCCCCTGGGATCTGGAGAAGGCAGGTGCTATATACGCAAATGACCTAGAAAGATGCTTCCTTCCTCTCTAGCCCACTTCCATTCTGGGGAGTGCTTTTCTCTTACTTAATACCGTTTCCGTTTCTATCAATACCCATGTGTGTCCCTAATCCTTTTTGTTGTTGTTGTTCTTAAACACCAGATCCTAGAAGTTTCGGTGAGAGCACCTTTGGATTAGAGTCTCATCTACAGCATCGATAAAGAGCAGCGTACTTTATCTTAGCTAAAAGGCCAAGGAAAGCAATAATCAGTAAATTAAGACAACGGGGAAGTATTTGCCCCAAACTATTAGGTCATAATGAAGCAGGGAGAAGGGCTGTCTTCAAGTGTGAAGGAGACATTCTGCTTCAGGTGTGCACTCCTCAGGTGTGAAGAGTCCTGGAATGCTCAGGGTCACACAAAACTTATTTGAGTCAGTGGCGTGAGTCCTTACCTCCCAAAGTCAAAGAATGAAATTCACAGAAAGTGAGAAGAGCAAGTTTACAAGGTAGTGTTATAGAGAGAAGCTCAAAGGATTGCAGAGAGCAGAGCTCTGGGTAGCAAGTGCAGCTGAAAAGGCCACCCAAGAAAGGTTGGATTAGCTCTAAGGGGAATGCAAGGGGAGGGGAATTCATTGAGATGTCTGTCTAGGGTGCACGCTTGCTTCTTTCCTGCTTGATCTTTTCTTCTCGTGGCACAAACTAGACAAAGAAAATTTCCATCCAGATTGGTTAATGCTCCGAGCATACCATGCTGAGCCAGTACAGAGCCCATGCCCTGAGCCAGCCTGAGAGAGGATCATGGACACACATATATGCTCAGGTAGGGAGTGGTCACAACTTGAGGCCCTCTTCTGTCCGTCTCTGACTTGCTTTGTCCATCTTTGACTCCTGACAGGCCTTCAGGAGTTCTGACAGGCATTGCTTATCTGACACTGCAGGTGTCCTTGACGGGTCTGCTAGCTGCTTATCCAACTATGCTCTTTCCCCTTACTTACGGGGCCAGCTTGCAGTTTACCACTGGCCTTTTCCTCCACTGTCTAGTGATAGCTAACATCACAGTAACCAGACGAGGCTGTCGTTCTCACTGGTCCCCTCACATCACCTCCTCTTCTACTCCATGACCGTTTCTGGAGTAGGAGGGAGCTTTCTGTCCGAAGCCATCCTGCAGTATGTATAGTCAGCTGCATTAGAAGCGAGACTACGTGAAAGGACAACAGTGCCTTGTGTATGGTTCTCATACACACACACACACACACACACATACATACATACGTAAGTACGTACATACATACACACATACATACAGGAGCCAGCCAGCCTGCCAGCACTGACTTGGAGGCCTGTTCTTTCTCTTGTCACTTGGTCATCTCCTATCCAGCTTTAAGCCCCGTTTTACCTTCCTCAGGGCTCCCAACCTCACCCTTGTAACCCTAAACCTGTGTTTGCCATACAACAGGACAGAATTTGCTTCCTCATTTGTAGCTTCAAGACTCTTGGTGTCCACCAGCACCAGGTGGCCACAACTACTGATGAAGGTATTCTAAGGTGTCTAGTCCCAAGCTTTGGGATCTTTTCTGTACTATCTAATGGGGGAGACCCAAACACTGGGCAAGGCCCCTCTCCATCACTTGGAATTCTTAAAACACTGGCATGCTGCACAGATGTCTGGCTCAGCTCCGGCTGGCAGCCATGAAGGTGAGTGTAATCTATAGGATGTTATTTACTGGCCAGTACTCAATTTTTCAACACTGATGAAGAATACCAATACATGTAACCATAATGCTCATTACCGCATGATACTTATTTTATTATTATTTTCTTTCGTGTGTGGATACGTTCCCTGAGTGCAGGTGCATGTGTATACACCTGCATGTGGAGACTGGGGATTGACAATGGGTGTCTTTTCAGTGATGGTTTGAATAAGAATGGTCCTCATAGGCTCATATATTTGAATGCTTACGCACCAGGGACCAGACGGTTTGAAAGTATTGGAAGGATTAGTAGGTGTGGCCTTGCTACAGGAAGTGTGGCACTGGGGGTGGGCTTTGATATTTCAAAGATCCAGGCTGGGTAATCCCCACACTGTCTGCAGATCAGGAGGTAGCTCTCAACTGCTTCACCTGCAGCAGACCTGCCACACCTGCCATGATGCCTCCTTCCCACCATGATGACAAGGGACTACGACTCTGAAACGATGAGAAAATTCACAATTAAATGCTTTCTTTCCGAAGAGTTGCCTTGGTCACGGAGTCTCTCGAGAGCAACAGAACGGCGACAAAGACATCTTCCTTATTTTCCACCTTATTTCAGGAGAGTTTTGTCTGTATGGATGGATGTGTATCACATGGATGCTAGGTGCTCCAGGTCAGACGAGGACATGTGATGCCCTGGAGCCAGAGTTACAGACCACTCTGAGACACGTGTGGGTGCTGATAACTAAACTCAGGGCCTTTGTAAGGACAAGATGGCGCTGATGAGCCATCTCTCCACCCTTTCACCTTGCTTTTTGAGACAGGATTTCCTCCTGAGCCTGGAGCTAATGGATCCAGTTAGACTGGGTGGCTGAGCTCCAGAGTTCTGCCTGTCTCTTGTCTTTCCTCGGCGCTGGGGTTACAGATGAGCACTCCAGTGCCTGGGTTTTATGTAGGTACTGGGGAAACCAAATGCAGGGCCTCAAGCTTACACAGTACACACTACACGAATGAGCCCCATGATTTTCCCACAAGGCCTGTATTTTCTCTGTCCTGATCTGTTTCTGGAATAATGAACCGTCATCATTTGTTTCCAGTGTCTCTAATTATTTTTTTTTTGAGATACGGTCTCTTTGTAGTGCAGGCTAGCCTCTTTCTATGTAGCAGAGGATGACTTTGAACTTCTGATCCTCCTGCCTCCACCTCCTGAATGCTGGGATTACCTGTTTGTGCAGTGTTACGGTTCAACCCAAGATTCGATGTGTACCAGGCAAGCACTCTATCAACTGGGCTGCATCCACAGTCCTAATTTTACATTTGTACATTTTATTGATAATTCTGAAAACCCTGAAGTAGTCTTCAAAGATGCGGTTTAGAAAAAGCCTACAGGCCGGGTGGTGGTGGTGCACGCCACCTTTAATCCAGCACTCGGGAGGCAGAGACAGGCGGATCTCTGTGAGTTCAAGGCCAGCCTGGTCTACAAGAGCTAGTTCCAAGACAGGCTCTAAAGCTACAGAGAAGAAACCCTGTCTCGACAAACGAAACAAAACAAAACAAAACAAAAAAGCCTACCGGTCTGCAGCAAGCAGAGTTATGCAGACTGGCTCTGCTTAGGTGCATTTGTATTCCAAGCTGGGAATTCAAGGGCAAAGTGAATTTTATTTTGTAATTGAAGAATAATGTTGCAAATGCCCCCAAAGCTTGGTTTTGGGTTGGTTCTAGCCACACAGCTGTGACTAGTTTCTCAACTGTTATATACCTAAAATCAGACACAAAAGATTCTGTCCTCAAAAATAGCTTGCTGGAGAGAGCAGGAGAACAGAAGGAAAATGTATTTGATTTTCTAAAAAGTCTATCTATTGTCCAATTAATCTTGTTTTTAGGCCTTTGGCCATGGTAGCAAGTAATAACTTTTACGGGTGGTAAGAGGACTACTAAATACTTAGCGCTAATTGAAGTTTCAGAATGGCTTAACACACACCTCAGTTATCTTGTTTTCTAAGTTTGTTTCTTCTGGCTAGATACAGAGCCAGGTGCAAGGTGACCAGATGATGCTTAGTCTCAGGACTGTCCTGGCTTTCACCTCGGCTCTCCAGGCAGACCTCTGAATATGCTGGCGGTTAGAACATCTATTCCTCTAGACTCGCAGATGCTGCTCTCCCCCCACTGGCTCTGCACAGAACATCATTATCTTTGCTGAGCTTCTGTCTCTATGGCAATAACAGATGGGAAGTGCTGTGGAATTATTCATGTTCACACAGGCAAGCAGTCAAGGAGCGGAGGGTAGGAGGTGGGAGAGGGGCATGACCTGAGAGCACGGAGATGGGGGCCGACAGGAGCTGGGGCGGGGGCGGTGATGAGGCGAACATTTGTTAGACTTATTGTTGGGGGGGATGGGAGAAAAATCTTTGAGCCCCAAAATACTCCCAATTGGACAACTGCAAATGTGGACCCAAACATGAGTAACCCTGAAGCGGTAAAAATAAAAAAACTGGACGGAAAAAAAAAAAAAGAAAAAGGGGGGATGGGGGAGAGAGCGCGGCCGCCGAAGCTTGAGTTCCTTAAGTCTGCGCAGTGCTACTCGCTGCGCTCTTTCAGTTCCTGATCCTGCGGTGGGGTGGAGAAAAGGGGATTTCTTGGTGTTTCGAAATGTGACGGCCCAGCTCCACAGAGTCGAATATTCGAACTGACTACCCTGGGTACGTTGGCTAGGAAGTCCCCCCACCCACCCCCTGCCGCCCGCCCGCCCGCCCGAGGTGGCAGCCGAAAGCTCTAAAGTGGTTTATCTTTCTCCTCCTCCAATCGTTTCTGGAAAAGAAAAAAAAAAAACCTGAAAACCCCAAACGACGCGCTCAGTGAATTAGAACGGGTCACTGTGGAGGGCGAGAGCAGCTGGGGCAGTCAGGTCTGTCCCGGCGGTGCGGAAACAGCGGCGTTTCTGACGATGGCGGCCGCCAGGCGACCGGGCGAGGC